TTAGAGTAGAGCACTACACCCACGGCACCACGACACAAAAGAACAGCTGGAAGGCACCTTGTTCGGTGAGAAAGTTGTTGGGCGCGGTGCCGCCGGTGGCCACGCCGAGAAGACGGCCGGCCTCGAGTCCCGCCCGGTCGGCCCCTGTCTGGCCGCCGGAGATGATCCGCACCACCTTGCCCGTCCACGCGGCCTCGGGGGTCACCCGCCCGCGCTCCACCGGCCCCGCCGCCTCGTACGAATCGCGACCGCGCTTGCCCCGCCCTCGCCCCCTGGCTGCTGCTGGTCCGCTGCCACTACTGCTACTGCTCGAGGCAGCAGCATCAGTTGTGGTGGTGTACGTTGCCGTCGTAGTACTGGGCCTCGCACTCCTTGCACGCGGCGTCGACAGCCTCTTGTTTCCTTTCCTCTCCATCCTCAAAGTTTGTCTTTGTTCTAGCACAAAGCCAAATCACGCCGCAATTGTTTCCCAGAATGTTTTCACCTAATCCCTTTTGGTATTTACAACAATTCAAAAAAATGATCATAATTTCTTAACGAAATCATATTTACTGTGCCCGGTGCTCTCTCAAACATTCTCCGTTCTTATAAAAAGAATGTCTTTTGTTACAGTTGCAAACAGTCTGCACCGACCACTCCGGAAGCCCGCTAGGACCTGCGCACACAAACAACACTCAAATGACCACAACACACACGAGATCCGGGTCTAACCACACAGGGCGGTTACAGGACCTGGCGGCTGGGGATCAGAAGCTCACCCCTGCAGGATCGTGGCCAAGTCAGTACGGTGCCGGGTGTAACCTCATCGTCTTGAACCTGACGCACGTGACCGGTGTGCAGATACCCTCGGCCAGTCTGCGCCAAGAGCTCATCCAGGCGCAGGCGCACAAAGCGGGCGAGGAGCTGTCTCTGTGCGTGAAGTGCTACATGGGCGAGAAGGCCGTCTTCGGTTATGTGGGCGAGAACGAGCACTTCCTCGCCCAACGCCGATGCGAGTGATTTAGAATGTATGGGATGTGTAGCAAACAACTAACTTGTAATTACTGATTTATTTATTTATTTAAATTAATTATGTACCCTCCTCATGTCAGAAGGCGATGGAGACGTAGTTGTTGACGGCCTCCTGCTTGACCCTAAGGGTGGCCGACTCGCTGGCCTGGTCGGGGAACAGCGCCTCGTAGGGCCAACCGTCGCACGGCCGCTTCAGTCGCATCTCCTTGTTGTACTTGGCGATCACCTCTTCCTGATCAAGCCCAACAGTGCGCACTGTGAGCGATTGGGCAAGTGCCAGTGTACGGCGAGCAGCAACGCGCGTACGAGTTCGTTGCATTGGCTGCCCCCGATGACGTAGGGACCGCCGGGCTTGTGCAGCACGCGGTAGTGCTTGACCAGCGCCTTGCCCTTCACGCTGTCTCGTACACTGGACGGGGGGGGGTTGCAGCCAAGTAGTACTAGTCGTCAGCATGTATGGCGGCACCACGGCACGTCACACGACCGACAGCACGACACATGACATGGAGAGCTGACCTGATGGAGTAGCTGCCCGGGTCCTGCATGCTAAACCGCACCAGGAAAGTCCCTGTGGTTGGCATGTCCAGAATAGATGAGCACATGGTGGCACCATCACACGAAAAAGAGTAAAATACGAATAATCATTAATGATATAAGATAAATGTGCAGTGGTACCTCGCTTGTGGGCCAACGAGAGCTTCTTCTCGGCCTCGTCGGCGGACAAAAATCCAAAGAACCATCTGGCGAGCGAGAAGAGGGTGGTGAGCGGGAGGCGTTCGAGAAGAACAAGAGCAAGAAGAAGAACAAGGAGGATGTTGGAGTCGACGAAGAGGGGGAAGTACCGCTTACGAAGCAGGTTCTCCATCCGGGAGAGTATGGACGCGTCCTCCCTATTGAAAAGGCAGTACACCACTGATTAGACCCGAACACGACTGGACAAGAATAGTGGGGCAAGGGGGGGGGGCATCGCGTACCATGGGCCGAAGCAGGTGACGCACCAGGCAAAGTCCTCAATCGAGACCTCCTGGTCCGGGTTGTTGGCTGTTGCGGTTGCGCGCACATGTTTGTTGATGTTGTGTCAGCAACCGGCACGGTAGGTTGATGAGCGGGTGAGCGAGAACGCGGTACCGACGAGCTGCTTGAGGCAGGCCAGCTTGAGCTCCGCCTCGGGTGTCAGCGGGAGGAAGGGGCGCTGCTTCTCGTGCACATAGGCTATGTGGGAGCGTGTAGGCGTGAGAATACATTCGTAGGTGGGAGGGTGCAGGGCGGGGCGGGGTGACACGTACTGGCGAAGGCGGTCATGAAGTCCTTCCAGAGCAGCTTGACCTTGTCGCCGCACTTCTCTCGCCAGAATCGCCGCGCCGTGTTGTCGGCGATCAGAGCCTCCACGATAACGTCATCAAGCACGCTCAGTATCTCCGCGAACGTTGGTCGATCCTCTTCAAGGCGGCCGCGCGTGAGCCACGAGCCCCAGCAAAACAAGAACAATAACAACCGTGTGGCTGTGTGAGGGAGGAGGGCTGATGGTGTACTTGGGCTGGGCTGCCAGCACGAGTGGATAAGACTGCGAAGCGTCGGCGTGCAGTCTGGTGGAATCTCGGGCCTCTTGTGTTCCACGCACACGGTCTAGACGCAGGCCAGCACACCACGTGATGAGAAGATCTGAAAAACACCACACACACACAACAAAAGGTCCGATTACCTGCACCAGCTGTTTGAGGGATTTGATGCTCTGAAACGGTGTTTGCTCCATGAGCAGTTCCCTGCGAAGAGAACGGGAACACATCAGCCTCCTCAGTATATACACCGTACCACGGTGCCGGAATAGAGACGGGTTGGAAGTACCAGAGCAACAGGCCAAAACTGTACACGTCCTAGACAGGCCAATCAAAATGAATAACAATTAATTGGTGTTTGTCAGTCTACTCTTTGCCCACCACGCGCAGATTAGTGGGAGTGGTCGGTCGTACAGCTTTCTCGTCGAACGGCTGGCGCATCAGCACCTCGGGCGCCATCCTGCACAACGCAATAGGTGTCGTGGATCGCGTCAACCTCAAAAGCGTACACCATGGATTGCAGATAAATAATAATAACGGAAGACGACGAACCACAACGGAGTGCCTGCATAGGCTGTGGGATCCTGCTGCATGCTGAGGTCGTCCTCCGGCTTGACCTGTGACAGGCCGAAATCTGATTGTGCGGCCACAGACGTGTGAGAGAGGCAACGCAGGAACTATGACCGAGAGAGGGGGGGGGACACACACCCGACACCTTGACCGTCCAATTGTCATCCACCAGCAAGTTGGCTTGAAGGGGGAGGGCGAGAGTCAGCCAAACGATAACACGTGAGGCTGGTGTGTGTGTGTGGTGTGTGTGTGGTGTGTGTGTTACCTGACTTGAGGTCTCTGTGGATGAACGGAGGCTCGGAGCAATGCAACCTGTGTGCGCGTGTGCGGTGAGCGCCAAGCAGGAGGAAAGGAACGAGCCACGTGAGTGCACGTATATACCAATTCATGCCCAGCGCGGCTTGCTTGGCGATGAGCATCTTGCGTTTGAACGACAGCGGCGTTTTGCCGCTGCCGTAGAGCAGATCGTGCACCGAGCCTTTGGACATGTACTCCGTGACCTGTGCGCACGCAATCAATCAGTTAATCAAAACCACACCACACACACACACACACACAACGGGTAGGGTCGAACATACGATCATCAGGTTTCCTGGCTCTGTGCAGGCTCCCCTTGAAGAGCAAAAGAAATGAGTCATGTGTGTGCGTGGGAGTCAAGAAAGACAGAGGGGACGAGCGTTACATGAAGAGGAGCAAGTGTGGCTGGCGCAGCTTGCTCATGATGGCCACCTCCTTCCGAAAGGCCTCGAGCGTGTCAGAGTCAAGCTTCTGCTTCTGCAGCACCTTCACCGCCACCTCCTGCCCTCGCAGCTTGCCCTGTTGTGCGTTTCATCAGCCACACGTGCGTGAGAGAGGGAGAGAGAGAAGAAAGAGGAGGAAGAGGAAGCGAGCCGCATGCCTTGTAGACCGCGCCGAACGCGCCTTGCCCGAGCTTGGCGCCCAGTTTGATCTCTGACGACTTGATCTCCCAGGTGACCGACGCCTCCCTTCGTTCAATAGCGCTGCCGCCCACGCTCACCCCCACCGCCTGCTCGCCACTCCCCTCCTTCGTGCCTTTGGCCTGCCATGGGTGATTGCCATAAAGAATTAACATCAACTATGCCTTCAAATGCACGACAATTACACAAAGAAATAGAAAGACGTACTAGCGATTCCACCACCTTTGGCTCTTCATCGGCTGAGTCTGATGGGTGAAGAAGTACAGGATTAGACAGTACCTCCCCTCCTATAGGAGAGGAGCGCGACAGCGTACCGGTGAGCCAGGACGAGTCCTCCATTTTTGCGGGCGATCGATGCACAATCAATCCGGATATGATTTTATGTTGCAAAGGAAACCCGAAGAAATTAATTTTCACTATTTTTTTGGTGGTGCCAAAGCGATCGGAACCATCAACGGAGCAGGCCAGCACAGGTTGCAGCCCTACAACCTCGATCAGCACCATACTGGTCAAAGGTAATGCACCACCAGCTTAGTGCCTACGCCAAGACAGTTTTCCCCAGAGGTCCTGGACGAGCAGACCTTTCTTCTTGTGGCCTTGCGCTTCTGACCTGACCCCGATAGGCGCCACTGTGGTAGGCTTGACGACGGGGAACATGCGAAACGCACATGAGGAGCAAAGACCAATGGGGCCGTGTTTGTTTGCACTTGGATACCCCCCGGGACTTGGGAGGTTGCTATAGACCAGTTTTTACCAATGGCCGCCCACATCCAGAAATTGAACACGGTAACCGTATCGTCGTGGGGACTGGTCCGGTGGTTGGTTGGCAGAATCTAACCCAAACACAGGACAAAGGCATTCGAAAGGCCGAACAAGCACAACAGAGGCATTTTATCACACCACCCAGCAGCTTAGCGCGCGTGCAGGAGCAAGGCCTCGTTCTCTCGTCTTCGTACTTTCTTTCGCGCTTCGTTCTTTCTGGTCGTGGTCGAGCGGCAAGGAAAACCGACGAACGTGAGACCCCCGAGGTATTAGAGTACTCCGCAGTGCAGGAGACCGACAACGGTACGACGTCGCTCTCGCAAGGGGAGCTCCGACCTGCAGCTCGGCTCGGCTCGTGTGTGTCGCCTTTGTTTTCTCTCGGGGTTACACACGGCGCTGTAGTACGCCATCATGTTCGTTTTATTAATCTTCGGTTTTCCTCTTCATCTCTCTCTTTCGCTTTCATTCTTCAACCACACCAGAACAACCTGAGGAGGAGACCGCCAACTGATCGAAAGGAAGCAGAAGACCCAATATCGGTTGTAGCCGTCGCCATCTCCATAATCACACAGAAGGATGAGCAGAGTGAATCGTCGAGACCACTTAGAGGGTGGTGCGGGCGCGCAGCCGTTCTTCAACGAGGTGGCCGCGGCCCACGTCCAGGCTGACTACTTCGTTCGACCCTCGGCCCCACCGCTCGACGATGAAGACGACAACGTGTACGACCTCGCCGGCGACTTAGGCTGGCGCCACCAACAGGTACAGCCATCCAAGCACCCACAAAACCAAAACCAACGCGGCGCTTTCTAAAATAAGCGAGATAAATAAGAAGATGAAAGAGAAGATTGTGCGAAGGAGGGAAACCACGAGGCAGAACTGCACAACTCGTGGTTGTGGATGGTTTCTTCGGATTTTCTATCTGTCGTTTTCGTTCTTTTCCGTTCTTTGTTTCGTTCTTCTTTTCGTTTTCGTTTTCGTTCTTTTATCTGACCACGTTGCCATGGTGGTGGTCGAGGAGCGCAGGATTTGGCGAGCTCGTCGTCTTCGGACTCGATCGAGGGCGCGGAGATGGTGGAGTTCCAGTCGTCGTCATCGAGCAGCGGGTCGTCGTCCGACCAGCTCGACATCGACAACGAGACGCGTCAGTTCCTGAAGAAGAAGCAAAAGCTCGGCGACGATGACGACGGGCTGGACGCCAAGGCCGACGGCCTCAAGCCCCCGATGGGCAGGCCCAAGCCCCGGGGCAAGGTCCGCCGAACGGAGGAGCAGCGAAAGAAGCGACACGCGGCTAGGCACAGGGAGGACGCCAAGGAGCTCCAGGGCTGGCGGCGCTATCTGTGCACGTTGTGGCGGTACTCACCCTCTCGCACACGCCGCACCGCCGCACACGCACACCGCACACACCGCCGCACACGCGCTAAACTCGGTTCGATGTTTCTATGCGCGGTGACACACACAGATGGAATCAGAAGAAGTCCAAGTCAGTGCGTGCGCCCACGGTCTACCGACCGTACTTCATTATTCTCATCTCCATCATCAACGTCATCCTGCTTGCCGCCGAGATCGGAGTCAACAAGGGTACACACCATCATCATCATCAACACAGCACAAACCTCGACTGTTGGTGACTAACTCGATGGTGGTGGTGATGGTCATCATCCCTCTCATCAGGCGTCGAAGATCTTTCGACGAATCCGATGGTGGGACCTTCGGCCCAGACCCTGTTGGACATGGGCGCCAAATATTCGCCCTACATGACAGATGCCGACGGCGCCTGGAGATTCATCACCCCAATGTTCTTGTACGCACCTCACGCACCGCACACGCACACCACGCAACACATCATCAACAGCAAAAAACCCGGGAGCTGACGTGATTCTTGACTGTGCAGCCACGTGGGCATCATCCATTTGCTGTTCAACCTCTGCTCGCAGCTGCAGATGGTGACCCTCGAGAAGAACTATGGCTGCCACCGCATCATTCCCATCTACTTCCTCTCCGGCGTCGCCGGCACCCTCGCCAGCGCCATCTTCGTGCCCAACCAGATCATGGTACGCCCGTGCACGCTTATACATTACATACATTCCACGTCATTAATGTGTGAGGTCAGGTGGGCGCTTCGGGAGCGATTTTCGGACTCGTGGGCGTGGTAGGCGTCGACCTCATCCAGAACTGGAAGCGAATCAAGTGCCCGATCGTGCAGATGGTCGTGTGGGTCATCTCCGTGGTAATCTCGCTCGCCTTCGGCCTGCTGCCGGGCATCGACAACTTTGCCCACATCGGCGGCTTCGTCCAGGGCATCATCGGCGCTTGCGTACGCCGCCACCCCTCGACCACTTTGGCACGCGTGGAATGCGCAGCTGACATCTTGGGTTTTGGGCCACAGATCTTCTTGCCGATTGTGGGTAAGGCCAACCGTCCAGCAAGCCCCGATGGGGGCTCGCCCTGGTCTGCATCCCCATCGATATTCTCCTCCTGGTGGGCGGCTTCGTCGCCTTCTACGTTGGTACGCCACATTGGGCCAACGCAACACACACGACACGCACGACACGACACGCAACGCGACACACAACGCACGTGCGCATTCGCTGACCACAGCGACCTGTGCCGCATAACAGGAACGAACGTGTACGGTTGGTGCTCGTTCTGTTCGTGGATCGATTGCGTGCCGATCCTGGACTGGTGCGACTCCTACAAGGACTAATGCACGCGCCGGCCACTACTACTACGCGGAGGGAAACGGGTGATGACATCACCACACAACAAGAGAGTACCAATATCACCCAGCGTCAACATCATCAACATCACCAACATCATCAATCATAAAAGAACAAGGAGGAGCACGTCTGTATCATAAATAAGCCACCGTGTTCACTTTTCACCTCTCTTTTACAACACATCAAGGCCAATATGTTCAAAAGTGCGAAGTCGAGAAGTAGCGGAGGGTGTGGGCGAGGGTGTCTTGGAGCTCGGCGACGTCTTGGCTGATCTCGAACGCAGCCACAGCGGCCGCCAGCGCAGGCAGCGCAGCCTGCGGCGGATTGGCAAAGAACGCGCCGCCCTCATCGCACCGCTCCATACCAGCAGCTGCCAGCGCCCTGCGCAGGCCCGGCACCGCCTCCACGGGCGCCTGGACTTCGGTGGGCACTGCCGCCGCGAGCGGGACATGGCGGCTGGGCAGCGATGGCAAGACGGGCAATGCACCGGCAGCGCCCATAACTGTCGGTGCGACTCGTGCCACGTCAGCATGACACACCCACACCCACACACAGACGCCAAGGAAAGGGTTGTTGTGGGAAACATACGGATGGCGTCGGCAAGGAAGCGGCCAAGAGGCTTGTCGTTACGGATGGCCAGCTGCACGTGGTGTGGCGCGATGCGCAGCATGGACTGCGCACGCGCGCACTCACAGGCCGGACCTGACGGAAAGAGAAGAAGAAGAGGAAGATGAGGTTTGTTGATGAGCCAGGCTGTGGCCCAATTGCTAGGTGGGGCTCAAGTACGCAGTACGAGTCCGACGCAGTACTCTAAAGAACGAAGACGAAGAAAGAAAGCGATGGTTAGCGAGCCACCCCGCACAAGAAAGGTGAAACGGAAGACACGCACCCATCGCGGCAGCGAGGTACACTGTGGCCTCTGTTGTGATACATTCACGACCAACATGTTAGCAACCACATCATGGTCGTTGATGTAAGAACACGAAAAAGAGGTCGTCGCACCTGCCCCTACAAGCATGTTCGTGTTCTCCTCCTTGATGGCGCGTTTCATGCGCGCGAGGGGGAAAGCCAGGCTTGCCTGCGCCGCCGCCGCCGGTTCCTCGTCGCCTTCAACCCCGGCCTCAGCTCCGCCTACCTCCTCTTCCGCTTCCTTCTTCTTCTTCTTCGTCTTCGTCAGCATCAGCGGCAGCAGCTGCCACCTTACCCACCTTCTTGCTCCTGTGCGCTTCGACCGCCTCCGTTCCAGCCGCCACCGCACCCTGTGGACGCCTGGCGTGTCAGTGCCCGGGGAAGTGACTTTGGCGGGCCGGCCGTACCTTATCCAACCCGAGCGGCAGGAGCAGTCGCACGGCGGTCTGAATGTGGCGCGCCGTCACGGTCTTCCGGGCGTTGTAGCGCGCCAGCTTGCCCGCTTCCTATAATCCCATTTTTCAAGACCCCACCCACACGGCACGAAGTGAGTTCAAGTGTGGTTGGTTGGTTGATGTCAACGTTGGCGATAGTTAGCGGAGGGTACGGCGGCGAGACGGGTGAGCACGTCGTGGACGAGGGAGTTGATGATGGCCATCCCCTTCGACGAGATGCCCATTCCCGGGTCCACCTTCTTGAGCACTCGGTACGCGCAGACGCTGTAGTCACTCATCTCCTTTGCTTGCAAACAATACAGATTTCGGAGAATATATTATAAAGTGTGGCTTAACTTCATTTCTATTAATTTCTCGGGAATTGTTAGCCAATGGTTCAACGTTGTTTCCTGGTTCTTTTCTTTGTGTTTCTCCGGGAATACAATGGTATTTTCCTTTATTTTCTTCCACTAAGAAGATGGAGGCGGAAGCTGCGCCAAGAAACAAGCGGGCAAGACAAGAAGAGGGACCACGAGAGGCCTATGCTGAGCCTGCTGCCACCCCGAACCAAGAGTCGCCCATATTTGCCGTATCCGCACAAGCCTACCACCGCTGGAAGTTTCCGCACTACTCCCAACCGCGGTACATTTTCTTTTTTATTCTTTATTTATTGTTATATTTACGTAAAATGTATTTCAAGGGAGGTGGGGTGCATGTCACGGGACGCGGACCATCAATGGCACAACGACAGCGACCAAGAGCTCGTGCGTCTTCCTCTCTCCGCACTTGCGTTGTGTGCTACATGAGAGTACTCATATGCCTGGCTTGTGTGCGGTGTGTGCGGTGTGTGCCGTGGTTGAATGCACAGCGCTACTTCAAGGAGCCCGCACCTGGCTGCGATCTGTCCGCCGGGTTTGACACCTTCGTGAAGAAAGACGAAGAGAAAGAGAAGCAGGAGCACATCACGCCCATTCTGTCGTGGCTGCACCACCAGCGCGCCGGCGGCTCTCGCGCCTCGTGCGTTTCACGCCCCCTTCTGGCTGTGCACTGCGCTGCGTTTGGTGGTCGTCGCATTCACTTCGCTGACGCACAGATCATACAAACGCAGGGAAATGGACGTCATCGCGCACCCACAGTTCGTGGCCTGGCGCGGCTCCTTTGCGCGCCTCCTATGTACGCGTTCGTTACACTGTGGTGTGTGTGTGTATGTGTGTGGTGTTGGAATGACCTTTCTGTCATTATAGGTGCTCCCTACAATCGCAGCGAAAGCTGGCGATTACTCGTATGTCGATTCAAGGGCACCATCTACATCGCGGACAAGGACACACCGGAGACTCAAGCGCGCCGACGCAATCAAACGCAGCGAGAGGAGCTGATGGGCTACTGGGGCTACAAATTCGAAGACTACTCCACGCGGCCTCGCACCGGTACCAATTGCGCAGCACGCACGCACCACCGCACACGCACAACCGCACACACGACCGCACACACGACCGCACGCGCGTGACCGCACACGCACGACCGCTATCAGGGCTGCAAGAACCAAATGAAGGGCCGGTGAGCAACATTCCGTGCTACTGCACGGTGGTGAGGGCGCGGCTGGGCTCGCACCTCCTGCTCATGTCGGGCGAAACCGACTGCTGCATGGGTACCTCAATTCTCTTCTCTTTTCCCTCTCGGACCACTCTCTCTGCAGTACTGCTGCTGACGTCAGCACACCCTCCACGTTCGGTTCGCATTGCTGCCAGAGGGTCAAGCCAAACCACCAGACAACTACGTCGTACGTCATACGCCACCTTAACCTACGCTCGAGCGCGGTGCCTGCACAACGCTCACCGTCAAACTCGCGCGTGCGCAGGAGCTGAAGACGAACAAGGTGCTAATGACGGAGAGGGACCGAACGTCATTTGAGCGCTACAAACTGCTCAAGTTCTGGTCGCAGTCCTTTCTCGCCGGCGTCCCGCGGGTGGTGGTCGGCTTCCGCGATGACGAGGGCATCGGTACCCTCCCCCACCACTTTCCACTCCTCCGGTTGAGCTCCTCCTTCACCGCGCTCACCATGCCGCGTGCGTGCGTCGTCCAGTGCGAACCGTGCAGCACTTCAAGACGCTCGAGCTGCCCCGCTTTGTGGAGGGGAAGCGCAACATGTGGGTACGGGCCACTCCCTTATTTTTTTTATATTTATATTTATTGTCTATTCACTTTTTAATTACACGCCGGCGTGCGTTGCGCACTGCAGGACTCGGCCGTGTGCATGAACTTCTGCGACCAGTTCCTCACCTGGGTCGCGTGGTAATCTTCGTGTGATGTGTGGCGTGTGTGGCGTGTGTGGCGTGTGTGGCGTGTGTGGCGTGTGGCGTGTGGCGTGTGGCGTGTGGCGTGTGGCGTTGGTCTCACCCTCTCGCTTGCCGCGTCTGATGTCCGACAGGCTATTCGAGCAGGAGGACCAGGAGAAGACTGCGAGTGGCGGCGATGACGACGCCAAGGTGGTGTGGGCGCTCGACTACGGTGCGCCCTTCAGCCACGTTCAGGCCACACGCTTCAAGGACGGAAGCCTCGCCTTCCTGCCCGCCTGGTTCACCTCCGCCACGCCCACCAACCCACCATCGCCCCACCACCCACCGCCAGACACACCGCACGCGTAAATATATATTTGGTTGTGTGTGTGTGGGAGTGAGCGACGTGCCATGTGGAGGACCACCCTGCGGGCCGGGCGGCAGGCCCAGGCGGCGGACGGGCATGTGCAGCACCTTCCACCTCAGCAATCAGCGGCAGCGATGATCGCAGTTCGGCTGCCGAAGCCTTTGCTCTCGGCCGTAACGAGGGCGTTGCTGTAAGTTGAGGTCTCATCGATGTTGTGTATTTGTAAAAAAATAACAAGCATCTTCGTAGCTTCTTGTGTGGGCCCAGCCTCGGTTATTTGTTGTCCTCGACGTCGATGATGTCCTCGTCCTCCATGTCTTGCCCTTCGGCCGTCTGATTCCCCTTTAGCGGCAGTCCATCGAACACGAATCTCGCCCTGTCGTACGCCGGCAGTGAGTCACCCAACACTTTTTTATTATTTAATAATATTATTAATATTATTAATATTATTGTTGTTATAATAATAATAATAAATTGTACGCACTCAGCCATTTTCAAGCCCTTCTTCTTGCAGTAGGCCTCCTGCAACTTCTTGAACGGATCGCTCTACGGGGGAGCAGAGACGAATACAGAGATCAGTCTTGAGCGCGAAGTGGCGCGAGCGTAGTTGGTTGGTTGGTTCATGGTGGTGGTGCGGGTACCCGCTTGATCCGGAACTTGTCCTCTTCCGTGCCGCGGCGTACTCGGAGGAGGACGTAGGCGCTGTCATCGTCGTCATCTTCGACGTACGTCGCGACTGGGGCCGGCCTCGGCGGTTGAGGCTTGCTGGCGGTGGCGGTGGCGGTGGCGATGGTGGTGGTAGCGGCGGCGGCAGTGGAGGCTGCAACGGCGGGCAATTGCGCGCCGGGCTCGACCTTCACGTCGACGATATCGTCGTCTTCCATGTCTTCGTTCGCGGGCGTGCTTCGCATGTTAAGCGGCAGTCCGTCGAATATGAACTTCACCCTGGATGCACCGCGGTGTGGTTTCGCCGTCAACACACAGTGAACCGCACACACACAACACACAACACACAACACACAACACACAACACACAACACACAACACACAACACACAACACGGTCGTACTTTTCTGGGATGAGCCGTTTCTTCTGACAGTAGGAGTCGTGCAGCTTCTGGAATTGCTTGTCCTGTACGTAGGAAAGGAGAGCAGTGTGAGTTGGTCATTGCGCGTTAACGTGTAGGCGCAAGCAAGCAGGGGAAAAAGAGAAGAAGAAGCCATGGCGGGGACCCGACCTGGTCGATCCTGAACTTCTCCTCCTGGCCCTCCCTCCGGAGGCGAAGTATGACATAGTCGGCGTCGGCTTCTTCCTCTTCTTCTTCGGCCTCTTCGTCGTCCAACTGCACCGATGCAGGTTGCGCTGTTGGCAAGTGATTGTACGCGATCGCGAAAAGATCAGCAAATCATCATCGAACGCGAAAGAGAGAGAGAGAGAGTTGTGTGTGTGTGTGTGTGTGTGTAGCGTACGTGTTGGCAGTGTCCTTGAGGAGAGTCGAAGGCCCACCTCCTTCTCCAGATCTCCCATCCACGACGAAGGGGGTGGCGGCAGAGCCAGCTGCAGCGTCTCATTTTCCTGGTGTCGAGGTGAGCGCACATTCATAGGAAGCCTGGTAGACAAGGCCAATGCGGGGGGGGGAGTAGAGAGGGGAGCAAATTACCAGCATTCCGAAATCCTGAGGCGTCTGGCTGGGCTGCACCGGCATGCCGTCGAACTTGACGACGAAACCGCCGTCATCCTCCAGCAGCTTTTTCTGTAAAGATGAGAGTTGCACGATGAGACGACGCCCCAAAAAGCGCCTATTGTGGGGCGTCAAGTCCCACGTACATGGTCTGAGAGGTACTCGGTCATGCTGTGCCGCCTCAGGTAGGTGTTGAGCGGCTCTTTCTTCTTTTTGATGTACTCGTTCAGCAGTAGCGAGAAGGGCTGACTCTTCAGAATTCTAAACTTCATCACCTGTCATCGCAGCAACGACACACACAGCAACCACACGAAGAGGAGGCAATGAGGGTGTGGTTGCTACGAGTGTGGTCTTGGTGGAGCGATGGGGGGAGGTACCTCGCTGGTGAGAGGGCACAGCAGACTCAGCAGGACCGCGGCGGCAGGCGAGCTCGACGGCCTGAAGAGGGCGCCGCACCAATCAGTCGCGTGAGACGCGGCGGAGACAGGCACACCGATGATTATCGGTGGCTCTCACCGTACCTCGCACTCGAGCTGGTGGTGGAGGTGGAGCGTATGGGACTGTCATACAGCGGATCGCTCTGTCGCAGCCTGCTTGCAATCGCCTGGCTCTCCCTACACGGTTCACGTGCGCGGTGGGCAAAAAAGCGCGAGCCAGAAGCAGCAGCAACAGCAGACAACAAGCGAAGCTGCGCACCTGGCCAAGCGGAGGCTTTCGACGACTGCGGGCGGCAAGTACGCGCTCATCTCGCTGAACGAGTTCAGGTTCATCATTGGCGCGTCGTCGTAATGGAGGTGCTCCAGTTCGAGGTCATCTTCATCCGAATCGCTCAGCACAATCGAGGCTGGAGCACATCACCCACGCCACACACCACACAGAGGCACGCGACATCAGCCAAATCAAGCACACATCGGTGAGTTGTGTGTGCGGTGTGTGCGGTGGCGTGTGCGATATGTGTGCAACGTACTATCCACGGGGAGCACATCTTTGCCCTTGGCGCTCGTGGCGGTGGGCCGGCTTCTCTTGAGCACGGACCCGACGGTCGCCGAGGGCTCGTCGTCAAGACTGTCAGGTTCGATCGCCGAGGGCTCGTCGCCGGTCCGCTTGGAGTTGACCGTGGTCTTGGGTGCCGGCACCGAGTCGGCCTTGCGCTTACGCCCACGCGGCGCCTTCTTGCCGTAGATCTCGCCCATCAGCTCCTCGCGCGACATCTGCTTCGCCGCGGTGGCCGCGCTGGTCGGCTGAGTGGTGGCTTTGACTTTGTACCTGCCGGGCTGGAGAATGGCGTCGAGGTCTTCGTCGTCCTCATCCACGTCGCTCGCGTCCTCCAGCTCTTTTGAGCCATTTAAAAATAAATATAAATTAAAAAACAAATAGATTGGGCGAATGGAGAAGCTGTACCCCGCGGTGGATCGCGTCGGGATGCTTTGTTCCTTCTATCGAAAATATCTTCGTCTGAATCGCTCTCTGAACTCTGTAGCGGCATCGCGGTGAGATGAAGTGCACAAGTTGATCTGGACCCCCCGCCCTAAACAATACGTAGCTACGCACCATCTGAATGGTTGATGATCCTGGACGTGCTTCCTCGCTACAATTTTGATCAATCGATTAATTGTGCTGATAAATTGGCGGGAAAAGAGAACAAGAAATTAGAGAATCGTTGCGTCGCCTTCCTCTTCAATTTCAAATTGACCACGCTGAGTGAGCAGGACGCAGAGCACGGCTGCAGTATGGAGACTGAGGTGGCCGGGGGCGCTTCGGCACGCTTAGATCTGCGAGAATTTGATGGCCTGCCCCTTTCCCAATCCTCCTCGCCCTGCTCCTCGCAAACCACATCAACTACAACAACCACCACAGCAGGAGGCTTGGTGGCGAGCACACCGCCCCCTCGCGATTCGCTGTCCATAGCAGGCACGCCAACGATTCTGGTGCCAGCATCGCCCGATTCGAGGGGCGACCATCTCGATCCGCTCAACCGGTTCTCAATCGATGAAGGGCGTGCCGGAGGCTGCTTGGCAGGCCAAAAGCGCCGGCAGCTCACTGCCAGGTTGATGGATCTGCGGTTCGACGCCAAGGATGACGATGTCTTCCAACAGGACCACAAGAAGTCACACAAGAAGGCCAAGGTCGAGCACCAGGTAGCCCATCCCCACCACCACGACCACCACCACCACTACCACCAAAACATCGTCGTATGGCCACCACGCTCATCTCGGTTGTGCACTGCGTTCCACCATGTGGTGCAGCAGTTGCCAGAGTCGGCATCGCAGTGCACCATCTGCCTCGACAGCTGGCAGTCGTCTGGCCCACACAAGTACGCACACCACACAACACCCGGCTGTTGGCAGGTCTGGCGGCTGCCTCACTACAACTCACATGCTGCGTTGTATTGTAGGATATGCTCCCTCAAGTGCGGACATCTCTTTGGCCGAAGCTGCATTGAGGTACCTCCTCTAATCACTGCCACACGAACTTCCCTGACGTGACATCGCGAAACACTCTCAACGACGCACATCACACATCAACTCAATCCAGAAATGGTTGCGCAACAACAAGCTGTGTCCGATGTGCAAGGCCAAGTACGGCTTAAGTCACTTTGTTTTGTTTTGATGGAGGCCTTGGCTCACTCGGGCGTGCGTGTTGGCCAATACAGGGCTCAGCGGTCGCACATCCGCCCGCTCTTTGTGCAGCACCTCATCGTAGTTGACAATACCGAGGAGTGCCGGCTCACGAAGCTGCTCGCCGAGGAAGCGGGCAAGCGGGAGAAGCTGGTGCGTAGCTACAAGGCCGACATGGAACGAATCCACCTCGAGTGTATAGCCTACAAGCAGCAGGTGGACAAGCTGAAGCGAGAACTCGACGACGAACGAACCAAGTGCGCATTGCCCCCCCCCCTCATCCACACCTCAGTCATCGTTCACTGCGTAGAACAGGTTTAACTGGTCTCATTGGAATGTGACGCAGGCGCCTTCACCTGCAGCGTATGGCGATGCAGACGATACAGAACGGGGTCTCGATGGACACGACCTCCTCGGCGGCCTTTCTATCCGCACTGACGCCGGCGTCTGCGCCCTCTTCTCGCTCGCACAGCCCATCAAGGCAGCCTGCTACCAAACCCCCGCCTCCCGCTCTGGCGCTGCCCTTTCCGCCGACCTTACCTTCCACGCCCCCTCCTACCCCTACTTCCACCACTTCCACTTCCGCCTCCATTCCTGTTCCTACTGCCACTCCCTCTTCATCGTTGTTGGCTCCCTCGTCGCCTTCGCTGTCGATCTCCTTCGCCCCCAAGCCCTCTCTCCTCTCGCTCCGCTCGACCTCCGCGTCCGAGATTTTGATTGACGAGCCGCCCATCTCAATACGAGCAGACAGACCCAAGGGTATGCCACATTTGTGTGTGCTGTGTGTGCGTGCGCGCGTGTGCTGTGTGTCTCACTTTCTTGTGTCTAGAACTAGACAGCAGAGCGCCACTTCCTCTGGCCACGAGCCAGATCAAGCGAAAAATGGACACTGTACATAAACTGTCCGTGAGGGTACTGTACCGCAGCACTATGCCCCACCCAAAGGCCGCCACTTACCTCCCATGTCTCGTCTGTGTGTGCCTGCGAACCGTCTTAGCGTTCGCGAGTTTTGGATATCAGCTGCGAGGGACACCTCTTGGCCTCTGCTGTGACCGGTGCCTGCCCCTCTCTCGCATGCTTTGCTTTGTGTCGCCCTCCTCTCTGATCGTGACCTGACACTCGCACGCGCAGGCGGGAGCGGGTCGTCCTCGAAATGGGGCCTGGTCAAGGTCAGCTTGCTGGACCCAACCCACCAGGTACCGCCATGAACCACACACACACACACACCACACGCACACACGCACACACGCACACACGCACACACGCACACACACACACGCACACACACGCACACAATTGTGTACAAACACTCGCGGTGCCTGCGTAGGAAACAATTGCTGGCCTGCACGACAAGCAGATACGCGACATCAAGTGCGGCGTTCTCGGCTCGTACGCATACCTCAAATGGCTTGCTAGCCTCGCTTTCATGGAATGCAGCGGCAGGCCGCAGCGCTCCGCTACTTTGCAATCTCACAGTTCCTCTTTCTCTTTCTCTCTCCATTATCAGCGCGTCGGAGAATCTGGTGCTGACTGCGTCGGAAGACAAGACGCTACATGTCGTATCTCTCCGCACCAACAGTTCGGTGCAAACGTAATACTCCTCCCTTCTCGAGTTCATTTGAACTATCTACATCTTTGTGTCTCGTCTTCTTTTGTTAAATTGGAGGCTCACGGCATCTTTTGTCATTCAGGTTCACGCTTGAAGCCGGAACGTGGGCATGCGAGTGGGACAGAAACGATGTACGCTTTGTCGCTGGTTCCTCTGTGCATGTGCCGCAAGCGTGGCCTCTATACTGATGCCTCATCATCTGCGCTTGCAGCCCAACTACATTTACTGCGGCGTGCGCAATGCCGTGTGGGTCTACGACATGCGAAATTCTACGATCGCGCTTCCCAGGTCAGGCCGCCACACCGGCTCTACCTTTGTGCGTGCGTGAGTGAGTGTCGGTCTCCCACTTCTGATTTTTCCTTTGCTTGTTCACACAGGCCCACGTCGGCGGTCACACAACCGATTCATTCCCTAGGCTTCCTGCCCGACCACCAAGGTAGACTCTTTGGGCCTCTCATGGCGCCCACCCGTCCGGCTGCCCGCACAGGCCTTCTAACGCTTGGGGGTCGCCGCCAACAGGTCGAAAAGGTCTCCTGGCCGCATCGTGCGGGGGCGTGTTCTGCTTTGATCTGCTGAACGAGTGGGAGGCCACCAAGCTCCCATTGTCAGGTATGTGCGCCAAAAGATGATCGACTCGTCCTCAATCTAACGCCTTGAACGTTCGCAGGAGTGTGTTCGTCGGTGTCGTATGACCACGAGAGCAGGCACTGCGCGGCGTCGTTCCGCTCCTCCCCGCACTATGCTAAGCAGTCTCACAACGTACGGCCAACCCAGCACACGCGCACGACACACACTACACACACGCACACACGCGACGCATGTGACACACATGCACTTGCTTACGTGTGGGTTGGGGTCGGTGCACAGATATTTACGTTCGAGGAGGGCGCCAAGCCGAAGGAGCTGCGGACCTTGTACTCGACCTCTACACAGACACTGCTCTCTCGAAGCACCCTCTTTTCGTTTGTCGATGGTGCGTACACCATGCCGCGGCCCTATCGCCTCCATTCCCTTCTCTTCTACTCACAACCACTCACTCTCTTTCACTGTGACGGCCGGTGTCCACACTGTCAGGCGATGACTTGGCCCTCAGCCGACGGCTCCTGCTGGCCGCTGGCTCCGAGGCCTCCAACGCGGTACCTCCTTAAGCAACAGTTATTTAATCAATCACACCCAGGCACACCAAGCCAAGCCGGGTCACGCATGTCTCCATCTAATCGTCGTCGGTGGCGGTGGCGGTGGCGTTTTGCAATAGGTGGCGCTGTGGGACGTGGCATCTGGGCAGCAGATCGCCCACCAGCTGGCGCCCCACTCCTCGCCAGTCATGGTACTCCAGCAGATCTGGGGGCATTGTGTGGTGTGATGTGTCCTTGGCTCACTCTGATCCCTATCGCTGATGTTGAAGGACGTGCGGCACTACGGTGAAGGCGGCGGTCTCTTCCTGGCGTCGCTAAGCGAGCAGCAGATCTTCCTCCACAACCTCTCCGCGGGCTGATGCGTCAGCCACACACATACACACACACACCACATGTACACAACACATTAAACTCAGACTTCCGATTGGCACAGTTTCTTTTCGTTCGTTCGTTTGAACTCTTCTCTCTAAAGCACAATGCAGCAGGTGGCGCGGCGACGACGGGCGCGGGTGCTCTGCACGCGCGGGGTTGTGGTTGCCGCGGTGATGGTGGGTTCCCTCTTGTGGCTCATCTTCAGCCTTGTTCCTCAGGTTCGCCTACAATCTGCATTCCTGCATTTATTTCTTTAATCACTAATAGTTGATTTGATTTAAATGATCTATTAGTGGTCGGACTGGCCCAGCCTGGAGGGGGAGGAGGACGCGGGCAGCATGGCCCTGGCCGGGCTCCGGCGGGGCCTCCGGCGGTCCTCCCTCTTCGGCCGACCTTCGCCAGCACCAGCACAAACCCACAACGCCGACGTGGCGCCACCCAAGGAAGAAACGCGAGAAAAAGACCAAGAAAAGTCGCGGCAAAGCGAACTTCAGCAGATGGAGGCGGTGGGTCCAGCAGGAAGTGCCAGCGTTGCCACCAGCACCACCCAAGAAGAACAACAGCACAGGTACCCCCATTCAATTCTTATTGTATTGTTATTTTTTTCCCCATTTTTTATAATATTCTATTGTAGTGAGGGGCAGGGCGATGACTTGTTCAGGGAGAGGGGCCAGGTGTTCTACTACCCGTGGTACGACAACCCTGAGCACAACAAGGACAAGGTAACCCGCCACATCACCCATCAGCCTCGACGTCGTCAGCTCAAACTGACACACACACGTTGTGCAGGCGTACCTGCACTGGAACCACGATGTGCTGGCCAACCCCTACCAGCAGGGCTCGGTCAACGGCGACCCCTACGTGCCTCCAGAGCAGGTCTGAGTGCCCCACTCCGTTCTTTCACATACATTGGCTCACTGGACTCGCTCGCGCGTAGATCGGAGCCAATTTCTATCCACAGCTGGGCTGCTACTCGTCCATCGACCGGGCCGTGATTCGACAACACATGGCGATGATCCGCAAAGCCGGACTGGTACGCTTCACAATGTTGGCTGATTATTACATATAATGTTCATATTTGTAATATAATAATAATCTTATATGATTTATGTATTTATAAAATAGGGCGTAATCACGGTGAGCTGGTACCCGCCGGCCTATTCGGACGGCCAGATCCAATCGAATCCGGGCTTCTCCGATTCCACACTCACCTCCCTCCTGGACATCGCCCACGAGCACGGAGTCAAAGGTGCCTCTTTTCCACAACTTCAACCACAGCAGCCTCAAATGTTGTGCTGACTGTCGCACCCTGGGTGTGCGGTGCTGCGTGTGCGTGTGCGTGTGCGGTGTGCGGTGCTGCGTGTACGTGTGCGGTGTGCGTGTGCGTGTGCGCGTAAAGTGAATCTGCACATCGAACCCTACAAGGACCGGTCGGAGAAGAGCGTGGCAGGCGACATTCGCTACGTCATAGGTATGTCTGTACCGATTATGCCGTTTCCCCATGTCAATATGAAGGTATGAATGTCGCCGGCTTCAACGTCGTGATCTTCAGACAAGTACGGCGAGCATCCGGCCTTCTACCGCACCACAGGACCAAGCTTCCCATGTACGCCGCCGGCGAGTTACCACTTTCCACGGCACGCATGCGCGCTCACCGCTGGCTCTCTTCCAGGTTTTACGTGTACGATAGCTACCTCACGGAATACAGGAAGTGGGCCAAGGTACATGCGTGGGTCTAGTAATGCGCGCATCTTGCGCTCCCCCATCTGAGCGCACACACACAACTGCACACGCGCATACGACCGCACATCAGGTGTTGGGCAGCCCGTCCGAGCATCCCGATTCCATACGGGGCACCAAATACGACGCGATGGTGATCGCCCTCTTCGTCGGTGCCGAGGACTATCAGCGAATTCCTCAGGGTACAGACACAGACACACACAACACGGGTGCGCTCGCCTTAGCACTCATTTCATTGTGATTATATCGTTAGGCCGCTTTGATGGTGTCTACACGTACTTCGCGACCAACGGCTTCACCCACGGGTCCACCACCGCCAACTGGGCTCGTCTCGCCTCGGTGCGCCCTCCCAGGTTCGAGGTTGTGCCAACCTGCGCTGGCTGACCCACTCTTGTGTGCGCTCATCTTAGTGGGCCGAGCAGCACGGCATGATCTTCATCCCTTCGATCGGCCCCGGCTACGAGGACACACGCATCCGACCATGTATGCCGCACACACCGCACACGCACCACCGCACACGCACCACCGCACCCCACGCATCTCGCAAGGCCCGGCTGACGCTCGTGGGGGGGGGAGCTGCGAACACAAACAGGGAACGCCAAGAACTCGCGGTCGAGGGAGGAGGGCAAGTACTACGAGCGGATGATGAGTGCTGCGTTCAACCTCGACAAGGTGCCCGAAGTCATCTCCATTACCTCATGGAACGAATGGCACGAGGTAACGTTTCTCTTCTTAGCCTCCCTGCGCTGATGATGATGATGAAGAAGGTGATGATGTTGATGAGGCGATTTTTGATGTTGATGGCGTCTGTTTGCGTAGGGCACGCAAATCGAGCCGGCGGTGGCGAAGGTGGTGAAGGCGGTGGACGGGCAGTGGCCGGAGTACGCGTACATGGACTACGCACCGCACGAGCCCGACCACTACCTCTCGCTGACCCACCAGTGGATGGCCAAGTTCGCCGCCAAGTGGCGCTCCGTCCGATCGGTGTAATCCAGAAAACAAACCCATGTACCACAACAGCAATCCTGCCACCTTCGGCTCACCACGGCCCATGGTAGGTGAGCACACACACGACACACGACACACGGCACACGGCACACGACCTCGGCCCACGACACACTACCACCTAAGGAGAAGTCACTGATGGAGGAAGAGAAAAGCGTTGAATGAATGAACCTGTGGGGACAGAAGCAGCATAATTACTGCTGGCTGGCCTTGTATTCTCGGGCCTCAATTCGGGCAGAGTCCTGCAGCAGCTCGGTCACAACCTCCTACAAGTTGACGCCGCACACGCACACACGCACGACCGCACACGCACACGTACACACACACATGGGTTGGACACGCAGAAGAGAGTAGCAGTGCAGCGAGCAGAGGGAGAGGGTGCCTTGGCGGGAATCTGCACGTAGCGGATTACTGAACCACGGATGAAGCAGTTGCGCACGGACAGCTGCGCGAAGAAGAACAGATGAGTCGTTGATCGTGAGAGCCTGCGCAAGATCACCACCACGATCAGGTGGAGAGCGATACCAGATGGGGGTACTTCTCCTCATCGAGGACGTGAATGTCGTGCAACTTGATGTTGAGATACTGGTCGACTGAGTGCAGCACGCCTCGAATGGCCAGATCGTTCTTGAGCTCCACCACAACCTCCTTACCCACAAGACTCTTGAAGAACGAATAGAACAGCTACAAGTAGAAACAATTCAATTGAATTAATTTGTGCCGGGGGGAGCGATTGGATCATGAATCTCGATAGCAGCTATTCATTCTTGCCAATTCGATCCGCGAAAGCCAGGAAATGAAGAAATTGAAGGAGATGAGCGGGAACGTACCATCTTGATGGGTGTGTTTTGTAAAAGAAAAGATAAAGAAAAGTCTAACATAATAGTGCACACTGAAATGAAAAGTGTACAATTTTTAGTTGGGGCGTTCGTGGAACAAATTGGCGCCTACCCACATCTGCCTCGATCGATCGCCTCGCCAAACGGAGAAGAGAAGAGAGGAGAATGCCCGAGTTGCCAGAGATCCACAACTTTGTGCGAACGATACAGGAGCAGGCGGCCCACCGCACGTTCAATCGCATCGTACAGCCGCGTATAGCCGAGCCCAAATGGCCGCAAATCGACTCGCGGGGGTCCTTCGAAGCGCAGGCCCCCTTCACCCTGTCTGCCGTCGCTCGCGGCAAGGAGCTGCAGCTGACCATGGTCCTCCCGAACGGCCTCTCCATCGACTTTGTCTTCAACCACGGCCTCGTACCTATTTCCCCCAAAAGATAGTAATAATAATCCATCCAACAACGCCTCATGAAGTTTCTTCAAATCGTGAAAAACAGGAGGGGCGTTGGGTGTGGCACGCCGATGCGAGCTCAGCCAGTGGGTCGGCCATGCTCGAGTTTCACGCCACCGACGGCGGCTGCTTACGGTATTCATTTTTTGCATCTACACTGCTTTCTTGCGTGCACGCCACGAACCAGTGTGGTCGTCTGTCTGGCCTGTTGAGCTCTTCCTTCTTCTTCCTCGCTTCTGTGTGCACAGCTTGGTGGACAACATGCGGATGGCCAGCTGGCACCGAGGCCGCTTCGACCCGGTCACCCGCGGCCCCGACCCCCTCACCGTACGACTATTCTTTGCTACCAACCAACGCAACGCCGCAGCGCCTGACCACTTACTCGGTCGTTGTGCGGTGGTCACACGTCGATGTGGGCCATTGTGCAGGAGCTGCCGGCTTTCGTGGCCCTGGTGCGCAACAACGCCCAGAACAAGGACTTCAACAAGCCCATCGGCGAGGTGCTTCTCAACCAGAAGTACTTCAACGGTACCACCACTCTCCGTCCTCTCTTCTCATCTCTTCTTCTTATCCTCCTTGCTTCGTGCATTTGCGTGTGCGGTGTGCGTGCGTGTGCGATGGTGTGCGTGCGTGTGTGCGTGTGCGGTGGTGCGTGTTGTGCGCAGGTATCGGCAATTACCTGCGGGCCGAGGTGCTGGCCAGGGCCGGTATATCGCCGCATCTGCCGGCCACCCAACTATTCACCAGCCCCGAGTACCAGTACGAGGGCCCGTCATCACGAACGCCGCGAATCGCTGTCATCACTCGTCGCTTACCCCCCCCCTTTTTTTAATGTGGTGCGTTCGAAAGGCAAAAGAGCGAAGTGGTTCTTGCGCTGTGCCACGCGATCCCGCAGGAGGTCCTGGATGACCGGGGCCTCAACAAGTACGGCAGCCCGGCCGAGAAGCAGAAGTTCCAGGCCTGGCTCACGTACGGCACTCATCACCGACTAGTGCTTGCTTGGCTTGGCACCGAAATAACGCACGACACACGACACACGACACACGACACACGACACACGACACACGACACACGACACACGACACACGACACACGACACACGACACACGACACACGACACGCACAGGTGCTATGGCAAGGCCACCAGCGAAAAGGACAAGGGCGGCCGTACCATTTGGTACTTCCCGGACCAGGCCTCGCGACAGCCCTCGCCCAAGGACCTCGACTACGCGCAGCAGCTCATCGGCCAGGCCCAGGGCGGCAGCAGCTTCAACAACAGCGGCGGCCTCGCCCAGGGTTTCTCGTTCGCGCCAACCCCGATGGCGTCAATCTTGATGCCCGCCACCACCAAGACTGCACCTCTACCCAGCAAGGCGGCACTGACTGCGGGCAGCGGCGGAGTGTATTCGACGACGACAAAGCTGCTGCTGCTCGTGTCGATTCTGTTCAAGGAGGGCAAGATCGAGGCGGCGGAAAAGGACCGGCTCAAGGAGATCGTGGTGGCCGGTGGCGGTCGCCAGGGCGGCGAGGGGAAGGCGGTGCAGTGGCTGACGAAGCTCGAGGCCTGCCTGGAGTACTTTGAAGCCGAAAACGACCTCGACGAGGTGGGCGAGACCATGCGCATCCTTACCAGACGCTACGTCATCGCCCACAACTGAGTTGCCCTCATCAGGCTACCCCCCCCATCGTTCATCAAAAAATGAAGCCCCCTCGCTTTCTTCGTTTTTTGGGCTGTGGGTCACGTGTTATGTGCAGAATGGGGGGGGGGGGTGACAAGTCGCGTTCACCACAAGATTTCCTCGGTGAAGAGTTCGGCTTCGGTGCGCTCGTGGTGCGCGTGGACCTTGTGCTCGTAGTAATGGACGCCAAGGTACTTGTTGTGGTACTTGACCCTGAACGCGACACGCCCCTGATGATGCTCCATGTGGAACTTGGTGTTGTGCTCGTGGTGCTCGTGTGTCAGGTACACTGAAGAAGAATTGTCAACACCGTGAGTAGAAGGCAATTGAGAGGAGAGGTGAGCAGGGCGTACCATAAGTGTCATCGATGGCCACGTACTTTCCAGAGTGGGCGTTCTTGATCTCCACCACGTCGTCGTAGAGATGTTTGATGATGAAGATGCCATGATCGCCTGGCGGACGTAGAGCGAAGAGCAGATTAGCGCAGCTTGACAATGGTTGGCGCTCGTGTGAGAAAGGCGTCACAGGTACCGTGGTGGTGACTCTCTGGGCGTATAACACCGTCCTCGCCAACCAGATAGTGGCCAGAAGCTGACCTCAGGCAGGCCTTGTGTCCGCTCGAGTAGAGGCATAGCCCTGCGGTGGTTCATATGAGATGTACTCGGTGGTGACCACCACATTCTCCTGGTAGTACGGCTGCTGCTGGTGATGGTGGTGGTGGCCAAACATGACTGGTGTGGTGGAGAGTGAAGGAATGACTTGGGCTGTTGGTTGTAGTGAGAATGATGTTCTTTGATCAGCGACCTGGTGTGTTTTTATACGTGGTACCTGCGGGGCGACATCACAATGTTGTGCCCGCTGCGGGCAGGGGATGCAGGATTACAGCATCAACCCCGCTGTGGCTCAAATGCCATTCTTTTAACTTCGTACCCCGTGGGTCCAATCAAAGAAGAGCGGAGAAAGCGTGCGCACCGAAGGGCACGTAAACGCGAGATAGCCGGCGTTAACGCCAACGACGAATAAGGGTGAGATAACAATATAATATCTATTATTATCAAATAAATAAAGTGTTGTTCGGGAGATATTTCTGTATGTGATGCGCATGTCCGGTCGTGGGTCGGTTTCGTCCCGCCATCGTGGCGTCTTCCTGCCGCGCGGCGTGAGCACGGACCTGCCAGAGCGCACAAGGGCCCACGGCACATGGCCCTGCTGCAGGGCCGGCCAAGTGTGGCTTCAGAGAGCCGCGACCCGCCTGTTGGCTGCCCGTGGGCCGGTCCTGCGGCCGCCGCCAGGTGGTAGGTGGTGGCGCTGTGTGATGTTGTCGTGGCCAGGCCTGCAAGGCTATCGCGTGTGGTCAGGTCCAGTCGTGGAGCGGTGCCGGGCGCGGGCTCTTTCTGGCGCTGCGCGGGTCGAAGGTGCCGTAGTCGTAGATCAGGAAGATCGGGTCCTCTTCGCACACGTTCTCATCGTGATCGTCGTCTTCTATGTCGTGCTGTTGATGATGATGATGATGATGATCGTCATCGCCGTCGCCGCCGCTGCCGACTACCCGCTTGCGACGGCTGCGGCTGCGCGCCTTGGCCTTCTTGGTGACGACGTAGATGAAGGCGCCGGCGCTGACGCCCAGCACGTAGAGCACGACCAGGATCCACAGCACGAGCGAGACGACGAACGAGGCGTCGTAGTCCACGCCGAGCACCACCTCGTGGGCTTCCTTGCGGTGGTGAAAGCAGGGCCGCGTGGCGTTGAGCGCGACGGCGTCGAGGAGGCGCCGGGCGTCGTCGGCGGTGTGGCGGGGCCGGGTGACCTTCTCGTAGGCCGAGGCCTGCATCCGGCCCTGGTGGCGGTGCACGTACTCCACCTGGAACTGAACCACATAGCCCTCCTCACCTGTGTGTGCGCACACGCCGTGTGAGAAACACACACGCACACACGCACACACTCACACACACACACACACACCGCACGCACGTACAGACGCCACGGAAGCAATCCTCGACCGGGTGGCTCGCCTTGGCCAGGACGAGGCACTGTGCCGGCACGAAGGAGTGGTGCGCGCTCACCTCGGCCGAGAAGTGTCTGTGTAGCATGAACGAAGCCTCGTGTCAGCAAAAGAAGAAGATGAAAAAGATGAAAAAGAAGGCGAAGAAGAAAAAGTAGAGCATACTTGTAGCCGGCGATGGCGAGGGCGACGCCGAGGGTGAGACAGAGGAAGAGGAGCAGGAAGAAGCTTTGGGTGCAGCAGGCGTCGTTGAGGGCCGAAGTCGCATGTCCGGGTCGGGCGTGGGCGCCGCCACTTATGAGAAGGCTCAGCCGCTCCTCCACTTCGCGCTTCTGCTGGAGGTGGTGCGGCAACGCCCATAGGTTGCTGCTCGCTGCTGCCTTCTTGTCCAGCCCATAGCTCATCACTTGTGCGCCTGGCACCAAGTAAGCAGTCCTAAGTAAGCAGTGATAGCTTATCAAGATTATCAAGATTATCGTTTGCAATTTGTGTTCAGAAGGCCCCTTACCCTTGGGGCTTCAAGCCAACTTCACGGCTCTAGTTGCTCGCTTGCTTCTACAATCAAATCCTAGATCGAGGCGGGTAACCGTTGGGTGTTCTTGTCCCCTCCACGTCTTTGTCGACGTCGCCATTTCTTTTCGATTCTTTAAAAGAAATCAAAAAGAAACAAAAACAAAGAGACGTTAACCCTCATGCCTTCCACCAACAAACATCGGGAAGCACTGGAACGACATCATGGAGAAGGATACCGGACAGATAACGATGTGGGCCACCTACTCACCTGAGATCTTCGGCAGAGGCCATGATAGCAATGATATAGACGACAAGTGTGGGAAAGTGGAGTGGGCAGTGGAATGGAGTGAATCAGCGTCCAGAGTGGATGTGGATAGGCCATGCTGCACACGCGCCCCAGCACAATCACCGCAAGCAGCAGGCCACCTCCTTATCCCTATCTCCCACACGCCACAAACTGGATGAGGCACGAATGTGAGAGGTTTCAGGAGCGCACGACCATGGGACACTTCTTTGCAAGGCGTTAGTAGGCCAGCTCGTCCACCTTCTCCTGCAGGGCATCGATCTTGCCCAGCGCCCTGGCGTTCTCCTTAGCTGGTTCGCTTTGGCGAGCACGCCAGCACCTTGTTGTCTTTATTGAGTTGTGGCGCAACAGTGTAGGACCATCACATCACATTCATCATATGTTGACGTCACACTTTGGTCCAGGAGACATCCATCTGCACACCAGCATCGTGGAACAGAGCTGCCACGGGACACTTCTTGTGGACCTGTGTCGCGACGACGAGCCCGTTAGGGAGCAAGGCGTACGTGAGCGGTTTTCCCGACCTCGAGAGGAGGTGGAGCACGTACCAAGTGGGCCAGCTCGTCCACCTTCTCCTGCGGGGCGTCGGTCTTGACCAGCGCCTTGACCCGCACGGTCTGGTACCGCGCAGGCACACCCTCAACGCCGCGGAATCCGCGAACGTCTACCGATGAACCCCACATGGTGAGTCCATGATGATTCAGCAATCCTACCAAACGTACCGTAGTCGCCCTCGATATCAAAGGTGATGCTATCAAGCTTGATCTTCATTTGGCGGGCCAGGAGCATCGCAGTCGCTGAGGCAAGCAACGATCAGCTGCGAGTACGATCAAGGATGACGCAAGTTGATGAGGAGAATGGTGGAACTTACCGTGCTCGCAGCCGGCAAGCGAAGCCAAGAGGGTGTGGAGGGGAGTGGCACCGGTGTCGGTTCCGCCCATCTTCTGGGGCTCGTCCATCACCACCTCGTGGCCTTCACCTGCGTGTAGGATTATGTGAGCGTTGGCAATCAAAAGTTCATGTATGTTGTAGCGAGTGATGTGCTGACCTTCTTCCTTGGCGACAGTGCGCATGCCGGTACCAGCAGCAGTGATGCGCACTTTCTTCCACATGGGCTGCGAGGCCCCTCCCGTCGCAGCTGCATAGCCCTATAATCCATCCATTCCTCAAAAATCTGCTGCCCGTCTGGGGGGGGGGCAGGAGAATCGTACCCGGCTGAGGAGATGGGCAGAGGGTGCAAGAGTTGTGCTCGGCCGCAGGTGACGCTCCAGTGTGCCAACGCGCCTCGCGCTCCCCATCATCTTTCTCATTCTTTTTCTTTTTCTTTGTTTGCACAGCGTTGCTCAACGAGAAGTACGGTTGGTGTTTGCAGCTGCTCCTTCCGTTGCCGTTGGCGTGCCATCTACACCACCATTTCCCACTGCGTGACGGCGACAAGGAATTGATATCAACCACTGGCTCTTCGCCAAGCCTACCACCTCGACAGCGGCCCGCACCGGGGCCTCAGACAGCCAAAACATCCATCGATCGGGTACCAACCACCATCACCACTGATCGATCTCCCACCGTCCCGAAGGTGGTCTTCGCAGTAGAAGGTTGATGAATAAATATTATCCCTTCGGCCGAACATCGGGGCGAGCCATGCTCATTGGCAGGCCTCCGTATCGGCGATAATTCCGTTGATCGAAGTCCACAGCTTGGAGGACTTGATGCACACCTGTGCGGGCGACGAAGACGGCGAGTGGTGTCAGCCTCGTGGATCATCGTGGATTGGGAGGGGGGAGGAGAAGGAATGAGCGTACAGTTCCGCCGCCACGCTTGGCCTGCGAGTACTGCCTGTTGATGTCACCGATGCACACGATGTTGGTGCCCTTGGCCGCGAGCACCCACTGCAGGAAACACGAAAAAGAACGAAGAAGAAGACGAAGTCATAGTAAGCTTTGAGATAGGTAGCACTAACAGAGAGAGCGGGGAGGGGGCAAACCTTGGAGTGGTCCTGCGTTTCCTTCCATGCCACGTCGTCCGAGAAGTTCAAGTTCTTCACGTTGACGTTGTCCAGGTTCACCTCGGGACGACAGAACGACGGCATCTACACCAACATATCAAACAATAACTCTCAATTAGAGCAATCGTCATCGATTCACCAACATACAAAAGGCGCGGACCTTGTTGGACTTATCGCCGTTCATCCAGGTCTCGATGGTGAGGTCGGAGTTGATGGTGGGTGCCACCAGCCCGGAGTAGAGGTCCTGATTCCACTTTCCATTCTTGGAGAACACTGTGAAGACAGTGCCGCCAACGGTCTTGATGGCCGTCACGTTCGTTGCCTCCTCCTATTAACGTGCAGTGTGCGTGTGCGGTGGTGAGTGAGTGCGTGTGCGGTGTGTTGTGTCGTGCGCTGCGTATGGGCGCACCTTGATAAAGTCACCATCAAGGACGGCCGCGAGGTTGGGCATGTTGGGCTTGAGCGCGTCGGGCATGTTGGAGTCGTAGACGTAGGGCTTGTTCAAGAGGAACGCCGACGCAGCGTTGTCCAGGTTGTCCAAGTCTGCGTGCGCACCGCGCCAATCACAAATCATAGAATCATCAGTTGAAAACGCCCCCAGCTGCCGACTAGTCACATGGACACGAGAAGGTACTCATGGACATGCACAGGAAGGACTGGCCGTAGGTGGCGGCGTATGCCGGGTAGCCTTCGTAGCTCACGCCCGAGCCGGTGTTGGCCGGGAAGCGCGGCACGCTGTGGACCAGCCAGAAGCCGCCGTCCGCGTCGAAAGCCATGTCGCCCTTCGTGTGTCCGAACGAGCCGTGCTCCTTGTTGTCAGGTGTCTCGTCTGTGTGTGTCGTGTCGTGTTGTGTCGTGTAGTGTCGTGTAGTGTCGTGTGTCGTGTGTCGTGTGCACACATAAACAGACAAGCGTTGAGTAAGCGAGGCAGAGAGAGGTTGCCGTGGTAGTAAGTCGTACCGTTGTACATGATGTAGCCGGCGTCGGACCCGGCCGAGTAGATCTGCTCGAGCGTGGCGCCCAGCGACGCGTCGATGTTCTTGTCGAGTCGCTATGGGATTGGGGGAGGGGGAAGAGGGGGCGACGCGTCAACGCCACCACCGCCGCCGCCACGATCACCACCATCACCAGCAGCGACCCACCAAGTAGCACGATCACACAACCAGGGCGACCAACAACACTACCACGCTATGAAATGCGAGTGGTGCGGGCGCGAGGAAGGGTGAGGGTGGCACAGGGATGGGCCTTACGTTGGCGGTCATCGACAGGGTCGGGTCGTCGCTGTCCGCATACGCGTAGCCGAAGCCTGTTCGCCATCAACGAATCCAGGCCGAGTGAGTTTAGTTTGGCCCAAAGCGCGCTGCCCACACTGTGGTCAAGTGGGACGTACCAGAGGCGGCGTTGGGGTCGGAGCTGCCAGTGAGATGCGGCACCTTGAAGATGACCCTGGTGGTTGGTTGAGTTGAAGAACACCAAAACTTGTGATATAGAGAGAAGAAGGAGCACAACGTACCACCAGTCGACGGGCTTACCGCTCTCGTCGCGGCACGAGATGCCGGGCGCGGCCGCCGTGGTGACCACCAGGAGCGAGGCCAAGAGCAGGGCTGAAAGAAGCCCGGAGCAGTAGTTGAAGGCCGACATGACGGATCAAAAGGGTCGAGGCGAAGCGGGACCTTCTATAGCGGCGGCAGTGGGGTGCGGTGCGGCGGAGACGAAGGACAAAGAAGAAGAGGAGAAGAGGCCGCGGAGCAGACGACCTCGCACCGAGCCGGCGTAACGGACAGCTTCGAACGGGCGCAGGCCTTGCTCGTATTTGGGTCGCGCATCCTAAATATGCGGAAAATGTGGGGCCAAAGAAAGGGTGATCCCAAGCTGTCACACTTCAAACGGTCCCAGGGTGGGACGCTGAGGATCTGCCGGAGCCAACCACCGGAGGCGGGTCAGTTGTTCAACTGTCGGCAGAGCGGAAGAGAGAAGCGAAGAAGAAGAGGAAGAGAACCAAAAAGAAAGAAGCAAAAAGGATTTAGTGATGATACATGTCGGGGCGGGGCGATCACGAGCAAACGTCGCGCCCGGTGATGATCGACCTGAGAGAGGACCACACCTGTGGAATGGCCGCGCAGACCTTGTTGAGACCCGACAAGAGAGAGCGTCAAGAATTCAAGAAGGAGAGTACTGAAGAAGAGGAAAAGAGGGAGAGGGAGAGGGGGGGGGGTGATGTACAGCGCCGCCACCGCGGTTGGCCTGCGAGAACTGCCGGTTGATGTCCCCCACGCAGAAGTAGCCCGAGCCGCTCGAGTCCGCGATCGCCCACTGTCTCCCTCTCCCAATGAGCTCATTCGTGGCTGTGCGTGACGAGGGGCTGGGGGCACCTTGGAGTGGTCCTTGGTCTCGGACCAGGAGACGTCGCCGTTGACGGTGATGAAGCGGACGTTGATGTTGTCGTAGGGGTGTGCCGGCTTGCAGAACGATGGCATCTGTTGACGCAACGATTGGAGAAGAAGTTAAAAATGGATTGCGAGACGATTGGACGCAATCCAATCGGTGAGAGTCAGACCTTGTTCGAGGTGGCGCCATTCATCCAGGTCTCAATGAGCAGGCTGGTCTTCAGCTTGGGCGCCACCAGCTCCGACCACAGGTCCTGTGTTCGATGAACGTGGTCAGCTGACCAACGCAAAAAGTATATGCGCCGGGCGGCCACCATGCAGGTACCTTGCCCCACTTCTCGTTCTTGGCAAAGAAGGTGAACTGCTGACCGCCGGCCGTGTGAATGATGGAGATGTTCTTTCCCTCTTCCTGTCGAACGATCCGGTTCAATGATGAGCACCGCCATGGTGAGTATGAGGTGAGCGCAGTGCAGGAAGAAAACAGGAAGAAAACGCACCCGGGTGATGAAATCCCTCTGGAGCACAGAGTTGACTCGAGGGAACGTGCGGGTGAGAGCGGCGGGCAGGTTCGAGTCGTAGACGTACGGCTTGCTCAGCAGCAGACCCTCGGCCACCGTCTCGATGTTGCCCGCGCCTGCGACACACACGACACAACGCACGCGTCGGTGTTTGGTTAAGGAGATTGGAATTGTTGGAATGTGAATGGCATACTGAGGCTCAAGCAGATGAACGACTGGCCGTAGCTCTTGGCATAGGCCGGGTAGGTGTAGGGCTCGCTGCTGTTCCGGGCGAACGGGAAACGAGGCACGCTGTGCACCAGCCAGAAGCCGCCGCCCGCATCGAATACCATGTCGCCCTGAACCACATGCCCATCGCCACATCAGCATTCATCACCCCGGCACTACATCTGTCAACAGAGCTGGGAATGGACCTTGAGGTGACCATACGAGCTGTGGCCCTTGTCGTCAGGCGTTTGGTCTGCGAGCGTTCAAGCAGCAATTTAGAAAATGTCAAAGCTGTACCCCCCGCCAGGGCATGAGGCCGAACCATTGTAGAGGAGCCAGCCGTGCTTGGACTGGGACGCAGCGTACACCTGCGCCAGGGTGCCACCCAGCGCCCCGCGCTTGTTCGTATCCAGCCGCTGGGTGGGCGTACGACAATGGTAGGGTACCATCAGCAAGGAAACCATCACCAAAGCATCGTCTGTCGTGACGTACCTTGTCGGTGAGCTTCAGCGTGGGGCTCTGCTTGTCCGCGTAGATGTATCCGTACCCTGCAGCACCACACCACACCCAGGCCCCAAGTCGACAAGAAAAAGAAACGGGAGGTGAGTGCTTCCTTCCCCGACCATGGCACGACGCCCAGTGGAGAAAGGTGGCGTGTGTGTGGGGCGGGTACCGCTTGCGGCGTTGGGATCGGAGCTCATGGACAGGGTGGGCACCTTCACCATGATCCTGACAACCACAGCAATTTTTCCATCAGCTTTGAACTGCACCAGACCTCCGGGGGGGGGGTAATATGATGTAGTACAGTAGGTGCGTACCACCAGTCGACGGGCCGTCCGTTTTCGTCCAGACAGGACGGGCTAGATGCGACCATCGGCACTGCAGACAAGAGCGCGACAACCGCCACAACTATCATCGCCACCACGAGCAGCTGCCTCGCCATCTTCTTTCGGTCGTGGCACGAACAAGAACTCGTCTGCTGACTGTTCTCCGCGCAAGATTGATTTTTTGGTTCATTTTTCTGTTATTAGTCGACAGCAAAGCTTCACCATTAGCACGAGTCCGCGTGGGCGATGATCTTCTTGAAGGCGGCCCAGATGTTGGGATTCTGGGCGCAGACCTGCGCACCACCAACCAACACCGCCGCCAGACGGAGGAGGTGAGTGAGAATTATGAATGTGGTGAGTTTGATCGGGGAGAGCGTACGGTTCCGCCGCCACGCTTGGCTTGCGAGAACTGCCTGTTGATGTCGCCGATGCAGAAGATGGCAGCATCGGTAGCGATGGCCCACTACGAACAAAAACGACAATCAGCGCGTGCGGTGCGTATGTGTACGACTCTTGTGGCTTAAGAAGAAAATGGGCGGCCAAGCGAACCTTGGAGTGGTCCTTGGTCTCAGGCCAGGTGACGGTGGAATCGAGGGCGACCTGCCGAACGTTGATGTTGTTGTAGGAGTACTGGGGCTTGCAGAAGGTGGGCATCTTGTTGGTGTTGGCGCCGTCCATCCAGCTCTCGATCAGCAGACCAGAGTTGAGCGTTGGCGACACAAGGGCCGACCACAGGTCCTGTATTTGTTCGTCGGCTGGACGTAAGCGCGTGCACCACACACGACGCACACGACACGCGACACACAAGTTACAGCACGACGCGTACCTGGTCCCACTTCTTGTTCTTGGCGAAGGCCAGGAAGTTGGTGCCGCCCTGAGTCCTGAGCGACGTCACGTTGGTGGCCACCTCCTTTTGGGGCCAGCGCCAGGTCAGCTCAGTCGCGCGCCGCAGTGTTGTGCCTGAGAGTCGCGATGCGTACCCGGGTGTTGAATTGGCCGTTGATGGCGGCCTGCACGTTAGGCAGAGAGGAGACGAGCTGAGGCGGCACGTTGGAGTCGTAGAGGTGCGGCTCGTTCAGCAGGAATCCGCCGGCGGCCAGGTTGATGTTGTTCAGGTCTTGATTTATATACACAAACGAGCATAGAAATGGTAGATAACATCAGATTGTGTGTGGAATGCGCAATGAGTACGTTGAGGAATGGGACGGAATGAGAGCGCACCGTAGGACATGCAGATGAAGGACTGGCCGTACTCCTTGGCGTAGGCCGGGTAGCCGGCGTAGCTGCCGGAGCCGGTGGCGGCCGGGAAGCGCGGCACGCTGTGGACGAGCCAGAAGCCGCCGTTGGCGTCGAACGCCATGTCGCCCTTCGTGTGGCCGTTCGAGGTGTGCTCCTTGTCATCGGGCGTCTGGTCTGTTATGAGACAACCATGTACCCATTGTGTAAGCCCGATGTGCGGTGTGCGGTGGTGCGGTGGTGCGGTGGTGCGGTGTGCGATGAATCGAACCATTGTAGATCACCCAGCCAACGCGAGACGAGTCGGCATTGTAGATTTGGTTGAGGGTGGAGCCCAGGGCACCATTCAGGTTGGTGTCCAACCGCTGCGCCAGACAGAGAAAGAGAGAAGCTAAGTATCAGTGCCGTACCCTGATCGGCGACAAGCTCCTCAACACTCACTCACAGAGCGAGAGAGGCAGTGGTACGTTGCTGGACAGGGTGAAGGCCGGGCTGTTGGCATCGGCGTACGAATAACCGTACCCTGGCGTCACACACCAAAAATTAATTATGAGAAAATGAGACGAAGAAAAAAAGAAAGAAGAATGGCAGGGGGCCACAAGCGGGCCGACGTCGGCCCCGGACAAGGGCAAGTCTCGGTACCGCTGGTGGTGGCTGAGCTGCCGTGCAGGTACGGCGCCTTCAGTATGATCCTATGGGCGCGTTCGGAATTAAAATGGCGAACAAAGAGCGGAACTTGACCCGGAGGGGAGGGGGCCGTACCACCAGTCGACGGGGTTGCCGTTCTCGTCCAGGCAAGTCGTGGAGGCGTGCGCGGACCCAACCGCAGCCAGTACCACGAGGCACGCAAGGAGGGCGAAGCTGCTCTTCATGTTCTGTGCTTTTGCTGATAGCGTCGAGCTTGCTGGGCAAGCGGGGTTGATTGCGCCCGGCTTGATTGGGTCTCTGCGCTCATTGGCTGGGGTTATCTGGGTGGTGGAAGACTCGGCGACATATTCCAAAAAGAAATACGATTATCTTTATGTTTTCCCAACTGAAATGGAAAATGGAAAGAAATTGCAATATTGAGGTGCACCGCTTGGAGAAGAAGGAGGGATGAAGGTGAAGTGGCGTTGGAAGAAGCCCAGAGCAGCAATGCCGCGCGGCAACGCGGGAGCGCCGTGGAGGACCTGCCAAAGGCGACCGCAGCTGGGCTGCCTGCTGTTGTCCATTATCGCCATTTGGATGCTGGGCCTATGGTGGCTCTTCGCCTCAACAAGCCTTGAACAACAACAACCAACCGACAGTGGCAACCAGGGCCTCGACCAACCCGTCAGCAGTCAAGGCGGCACTGCTCAGCACCTCCAGTCCCAACAACGAGTAGAGCCATCGCCACAAGCTCAAGAAGAAACCAGAGCCACTCCAGAATCGAGTAGCGGACCTCCGAGCGCAGAGCCACCACCACCACAAGAACAGCGGCCCAGCGTGCAGCCCGCCTACGACGAAGAGGCCGAGGAGATGCAGCGGCTGAAGGAGAAGGCGCAGTGGGAGAAGGCGAACGAGCTCTACAGGGCGCAGCTCAAGGAGCGGGACGAGGTGGTGGGCCGGCCGCCTGCAGCCCAGAAGGCGCCCTGGAGCTCGCTGGCGGCGGGCGGGGCGCCCCTGCCCCAGTTCGACTTCACCTACAAGAAGGGCGTGCCTCGGGCCACAGCTGCAGAGGTGGCGACTGTCGGACGGAAGAGGGCAGGAGTGGAGGGACGACGGGAGGCGCACCTGCAGCAGCTCAGGCAGTCCGATCGCGCTGCCGACCTGGCCCGGGCCGAGCGGGAGTGGGGGGAGGAGTTGCACCGGTTCCGCAAGAACGGCGCCAGCCACATCAAAGGCAATGCGTTTGACCACTGGGTACAGACCTGACTCCAGGAATGATCCAATCATGCTGACATGATGATCGCTATGCTAAGCATCTTTTTCCACCCTTTCAACAGTATATGAAGGATCCGGCGTTGGTGGTGCTGGCCTACAACCGACCGGGCCTGCTGGAGAGGACCCTGGCGTCGTTGAACGCGGTCAAGGGCATCTCGCGATTCAAGCTGTACGTGAGCCAGCACGGATACGATCAGGAGGTGGAGCGGGTGATCGACCAGCAGCCGGGCTTCAACCGACTCCACCTCGGTCGAAGCAACGACTCGCGCCTATCCGCCACCCAGCACATCGCCCAGCACTACCAGTAAGTACTCAACACTTCACCACGCCTCTTCTTGAGCTGGTCCCTGATGGCGCACTCGGCTTTCCAACTGCAGGTTCGCCCTGGAGACACTGTTCGTGGACCTGTCGCATTCGCACGTGGTGGTGGTGGAGGACGACATGACCTTCGCCCCAGACTTTGCCATTTACTTCGAACAGCTGGCCCACCTTCTGGACATGTGTGCCCTCCTGCCCACCCAACACTTCAAGCTCTTACTGACTTGGTGCGACCCGACAAACAAGGGACCCCACGCTCTGGTGCATCTCGTCGTGGAACGACAACGGCTTCCAGCACCTGGTCGAGGACCCCGAGCGCCTGTTCCGCACCAGCTACTTCCCCGGCCTGGGCTGGATGCTCAACCACCGCCTCTGGGAAGAGGTACGCCTCACGGCCCAGCGGCAGTAAGGGGGTCCACCCTTCAAATTGACTGATCGGATCGGCTCAGTTGCGGGACGAGTGGCCGGACGACCACTGGGACCACTGGATGCGGCACTCGGGGGTGAGCCGCGGACGCGAGTGCGTGGCGCCGGAGGTGTCGCGCAACTACAACGTCGGGGAGCACGGCAGCAGTACGGACCTGCTTCTTCTCTTCCCTCCTTTTGTGTGTTCGGAACTGAGCTTTGTTTGGTTGTTTGGTCAGATATGGGCGCCGACCAGTTCGCGCGGTACTTCAAGCGGATGAAGCTCAACGACAAAGTCGTCTTCTTCACCTCCACCGACCACCTGCTGCTCAAGGTTTCCCAACTGCTATGAGAGTTTGATTTGGGCAGAGTGGAGTGCTGATGGTGGCGGGGAGTACCAGAACTACCAGCGGTGGATACGGTCCCTGTACAGCAGGGCCGAGGTGGTCAAGAGCACGCGGGTGGAGGAGGGCCAGGAGGGGCGGGTCCTGCTGCTGCCCTATGTCCGCGAGAACTACGGCTCCATCTCCCGTACTTGCTTACTTACCTACCATCGTGTTCTTCTCCGCCTTCTCCTTGTTCGTGCTCACCCCGTGCTACTGCGCAGTGTCGCTGGCACTGTGGGACACTCCCTCTCGAGGAACACACAACCACTCCCTCGTCCTACGCTACAAGAAGAACACGTAAACACCGCACGCACACAAACGCACCGCAATCAGCCGCACGACACACACGACACGACACGCACGCAACTTACAATAATGAACTTGTGTTTGGTGCAGGTTGCTCTTGGCGGACAAGCGGCACTGCGCGTACCTGCCCGAGAGCCTGAGGATCCTGCCGCACGAGCAGCTCCGGTTGGTCACCTCCGCCGTCGGGGAGGACTGCCACGCTCCTTGTGCTCGCGAGGTACCCACCCACCGACTCACCATCGCTTCTCGTGCGTGTCGTGTCGTGTGCGTGTGTGCTGATAGGCGTGCGCGGCTGTGTGCGATATCGTGTGCGGTCGCAGGGTTTGAAGTGTCACCAAGGCGACTTCGACTTCCTGAGGCACTGCGACGCGCTGGCGAGTCGATTCCCGTGCCACCGAGGCCGGTGCCAGCTCGCGGTGGGTCCGGAAATGCCCATCTTCCTGCCTCACGGGCCGCACCAGAACGCCACCGGCCGATGTCTTGTCAGCGAGGTACGCAACACGACACACACACACACACGACACGACACGCACGCACACGACGCGCGCAACACGATGGCTCACTGGCGGTGGCAGGACTTTGCGTCGTGCGCGGCCAAGCACAAGGGTGGCCAGCGCCTCTGCCCGTGCATCCCGCGAACGGCCTCGGCCGCCATACATCCGTACTAGGCCCGATGGGCGAGGAGGAAAGTAGCAAAGAGGCAAAATGCATACACACGTGTGTGTGGCGTGTTGATATGATCGGTACGGGAACAGAGTACAGCAGCAGCTCCTCAGTTCCACTCGAAGAAGTCGCGAGGCGCGGGCACGTCGGCGTCGGGAATGTTCTCCACGACGTACTGCACGTGCTCCACGAAGTCGTCGCCGACGTCGTCTGCGAGAAAAAATGCTGACGGTGAACGCAAGAACGAAAGCGAAAGCGAAAACGGAAGCGAAAGCGAAAGCGAAAGGGAAGACGATGGGCGGGGGATTAAGTACAGGTGCCGCTCTTGCCGCCGAACTTGCCGACGATGAAGGTGCGGTCCTTGGGCTGGCCGGTCTCCTCGTAGGAGCGGACGTCGGTCATGGTGTTGCCGTAGAGGCCGCCGAACTTCATGCCCACCTGCTTCTTGAGCATCATGATCAGGTCGCGCTTGAACAGGCCGACCGAGGAGTAGATGGGCAGCGTGGGCGCGTGCTTGTCCGTGTGCAGAATGAGGCCCGGCGGGAAGCCGTGGTTGGCCAGCCACTCGCGTGTCAGGTAGTACGTCGAGCCCGAGCGACCACTGCACAAACCGCGTGAGCCACTACTGTCGACTCGCACGACACGCACGACACACGCAACACGACACACACAGCACGACTCGACACGACACACACAGAGTACGGAGAGGGAGTGGTCACCTGAGATAGATGGGAAGATAGCCCTTGGCGGCCCAGGCCTTACACAGGGAGGCGGCGCCGGGGCGCTGGGCGGGGTCGAAGGGAGCCTTCACGCTGGCCAGGGTCATCTCCAGCACGATCTGGTCGTCACCCGGCGTGAGCGTGCCGTCAATGTCGTACACCACACCTGCATCAACCACGCGCACGCATCGGTCGTGTGTCAGTCTCTCGATCGTAACACGCAACACACGACACACACGACACACGACACATGGAGAGAAAGAGACCGACCTCCAACACCGTGCTCGAGCACCCAGACCTGCCCGGCGGCGACGGAGAAGTCACCGCCGACGACGCAGCGAATGGGGTACTGGCCGGGGGTCTTCTGGATGGGAACCGCGGCGTAGTTGATCTCGTGCTTCATGCGCCCGCCCTTGTCGGTGGTGGTGGCGCCCAGGTGGGTCCAGGCGCCGTAGGGCGGGCACGGCTGGACGAACAGCTCGACGGCCTCGTTCGACAGATCGAACGCGGTGATGTTGCCGTAGCCGAACACGCCGCGGATGAAGGCCCGGCCGGTCTTTTCCTCCGAGTGCTCCTGCAGCGCGGTCCACTCGTCGTGGTCCTTGGTGACCAGGAACACGTTCTCGCGGTCGCAGCAGCGGTGGATGGCGCGGTGGCCCTTGGCCTTGGCCTGGGTCATGCGCGACAGGCTGGGCGAGCGCGTGGGGTCCTTCTTGACGAAGCGCTCGGGGGCGAACGGCAGCGGCGGCACGATGAGGCCCTCGTCCTTGCCCTTGAGGAAGGTGTAGCGCAGGCCGAGCTGCAGGAAAGCGCCGGTGCCCTTGGGCGTGTTGAGCTGGTACCACTCCTTGTGGTCCTCGTCTGCAACAAACGCGTGTGTTGTGTGTGTCGTGTCAGGCGCACGGCTGGTGATCGAGCGGAGAGAGAGAGAGAGAGACGAACCGACGCTGAGCGTGTGGATGGGTATGGCGATAGAGCCCGCGCGGGTCTTCCCCTTGCGAACCACCAGCTCGGCGTTTGACCTCGTGATGAAGCTGCGTCGTGTGCGCGCGTGCGGCATTGTGCGGAGTAGAAGTGAAGCAGTGAGGCCAAGTGCGAGACTGGCCTGTAGTGCGAGAGCGGTGGGGCGAAAAAGAGAGCGGTACGTACAAGTACAGCTTGATGCCGGGCTTCTCGAGCCAGTCCTTGATGTTGATCCTGTACCACTGATTGTCGCACGTGATGTGCAGAGCAGTCCTGGTCTTCTTGAGGCCGCGCACGTCCTTCACTGTTCGGTTTCGGTTGGTTGTAAGCTCAACTTCGCGCCACAAGGTGGAAGGGTGCCCGTACGCGACAGAGCCAGCTGTCCGACGAAGGGCTGGAGGGCCTTCATGACGTTGAAGGAGGACTCCCTCTCATCAGCCTGAAGAGAGGCAGAAGCCGGGAAGAAGGCGATTGTGAGGAGGCACAACTCTCGCTTAGCACCACAAACCAAAACGAGAGCGTTTGCGTTTGCAAAGGTGTTCGCGAAACGCTCGAGTGGGGGCCGTACGTGGAAGCGGTAGAAGTACTCCTTGTCCATGAAGGGGAAGGAATGGGTGACGTGCGAGAACGAGTTGGTGCGCATGAGCAGATTGCCCAGCCACACGGCCTGCGCGCGCGACAGCTTCTTGGGCCAGTTCTCCACCAGCCAGTCGACC